GTTCCAGCATCATTTGCCTCCAGTTCTTCAAAGTTTAGTGTGTGATGACTTTGTCTTCACATTTCCCCTCTGCTCCTTTCAGTTCTGGTGAAGCTCCCAGAGAAGCTTTCAGTCTGTATCCCTACTTCTGATATGTTCTAGGAAATCAAAGGGTAGCAATGCCCTTTTTTAGTCTTTGAGAAGAAGAATAGGAAAACCTAACCCTAAATAAAATTGTGAAACTGGGGGGAGGGTGGAGGAGAAGTAACAGAGGCTATGCAAAAACTGTTCCCCTTATTAAATATTTTGAAGTGCAACATTCTGATTCAAAATAAAAAGCAGCTTTATTTTCCAACACTTACTCTGAATTTAAGAAAGAAGGATGATTAGTATAAGCTACAACATCTACTACAGTGATTACGGGTTTTTCCCAGTACATTTCCTTAGGCTCACAGAGACTTCCTCTTACTTTGTGCTGTGTATCTGTGCAGTTGTTAGAACAAAAAAAATGTGTTTTGCCAGTGTGTAGTGATTTATGTCTTCCAGCTTTGTTCTCTGCAGCAATGTCCTCAATTAATTTTCCAAAGAGGATAATGTAACTTGTTCATGGCAGAAAAATGTTGAAACTGGAAAGACAAGAACCTGGAATTAGAGAACATCCTAAAAAGTTGAAACTGCCTCATACAAGGGTTTCAGTTCTATGTTTGCAACAGTGAAAATTGTGTTGTTAGTGTGTTGAAAGGTTTTACTTTGTCAGTCTTTGGTTTAAATCAGGTTGTAGTTGCATCTCTTCTATTAGTTGTTTCATGAACACTTCATGTAAAAGGTTTCATGTAAAAGATGATTTCCAACAGGAAATCTGGAAAATGTGTAGGACAGTGAAGGTGACCCTACCAGCAGTCAGGGAACTTTTGTTCCTCAGCTGCTTTTTTTATTTGTGATGAAGAGGTAATGGTGAACTGTAACCATGATTCTTATTGCAGCGAATTAAATCCTGGTTGTAATGCCCATTTGTTACCCTGAATCCATCACTCCATACACTGAATCTGCCTTGGGTTATGTATGTTACCCTGTGTGGGAGCTGTGTGTGGCTGAGGGCCATAGATATTCAGCTGCTATGAAGTTACTCAGCTAAGGTTTGTGCAGTCAAGAACTGTCTTTTTATGTCATTGATAGATTAGTCAACCCAATCCTTTTGAAAGATGAGGATAGAAAAATGATAATGAAGACAGATGTAGTCCTCCCAGGATATTATAAAGGTGGAATCTAAACTAGTGAAGTGTTTGTCTTAATATAGTTACAAAAATTGATTATAAGGCTTAAGTAAAGGAGCCAAATCCATGAAAGTCAGATGTATAATATCTGGTGAGGAAACGGTTTCATATTTGCAGAAAATAATTTCAGGAAATGATTGCCACATATGATGTTATTTAGATACAGATTTTCTTATTAAATCAAGATTTCTCACTTGTCTGAATTTTCCTTAGCACAGTAAAATTACAGAATAAATTCCCCAAATTTGTTGTTCTTTTTAAATTCCTCCAGGTAGTGTGTTAACATATTAACACTCCTGGGTGAAGAAATTCAGATTTCAGTAATGTGGTTATTTGAAGACCTTGTATTGGTTTACAAGGAGCATAAGATTTATCTGACTGCCAAGACAATTTTGTAATCCAGAGTGTAAAAGGAGCTGTGGCAAGATGGATCCTTGTGTGATGCCTTCAGTCTCTTCCCATGCTCAAGGCATATCTGTTTTCTGCTTACAGCTTCAGAGAAAGGAAAAGGGGTGATAAGCCAAGCAAATTATCCTTTGGAAAATTACAGACTGATGGAAAGAAAAGCTCAAGAGCAAAACACAGTTCTTGGTGGTTTACACTTTGTCCTTCTGCTGAAGGCTGTTACAAAACACGTTTGACTCCACTGGTAAGATTCTGTCCCAGGAGTCAACAAATGTGACTGAAGTCAAGGACAGCAAATAGAGGAAATATTCTCTGAAAAATCTTATCAAAGTGTGAAGAATTAACACTTCTTCAAACTTCAGGAATAGCAGAAGGGGTTTTTATTTGACATCACTATCATAATACAAGACCATAGGCATTGGAAATAAGATAAAATCAGCTGATATTTTTTGTAGTGCAAGTCCTGCTTGGGACTGTTACACTCAGGCCTGATTCTGTCACTTCATCTTAGTACTGACCGTGTTTAATGATAGAGTTGTGCAGATATGTCTCATTTTAGTGATGGGTACATTTTTTCAGCATTGTATTTATCAAGTGGTTGCATATTTAGAATTCAAAATAGGTTTCTGTCTGGACATGACTGAGCATTATATGTAAAAGGAAGACTGAGGTGGGTGAAGGAACCTGTTCAACATTACAACCAGCTGCACTTAGTAATGAAAAATTTATCAGCCCCTATTTATCTTCCCTGTATATCCACAGATCACCAAGAGAAGGAAGAAAAAAGGTTCTCCTTTCTGACATATATTCTCTTGAAAGCATTATTAGCTGAATAGCAATGTTTAATAGTAATTGAGAGTACTATGTTTTAATGTACTGTGGTGGGTTGACCTTGGGTGGCTGCCAGACCCTCACTCAGCTGCACTCTCCTTCCTCCTTCTCAAGAGTATAGGGGGAGAAAGTAAGATAGAAAAAGCTCTGGGATTGAGATGAAGACAGAGACATTGCTTACCAATTACAATCCTGGGCAAAACAGGCTGACTTGAAAAATTAATTTAGTTTATTGCCTACTGAAGTGCAATTAGATGGTTAGTAACAGAGAAAGAACACAAAACACCTTCCCCAACTCCTCCACCATCTCCCTGCAGGAGTGGCACAGGGCTATTAGGAACTGAAGGTTGTGGCTGTGGGGCCTACATCTTCAGTAAAGTTTTTTGTGTATTTTTGTATCATCTCGTGAAACTCCTTCCATGTTGTTCACAATTGTGTGCTCCTACCTCAGTCACCTGGAATGGTTTATTTCTTACATGCAACAGGTACAAGAGAAACATGGAATGTTTTGAGCTAATCAGACTGTCAAAACCAAAGTAAAGGTGCACTGCAATGTAAATAACAAGCTCTCTGAAAGCTGCCAGTGTAGACCAGGTTTTGCATATTTTGCTCTGCAGATATAATACATAGAAAAATACCTGGGTAAAGGTCTGACCCTACTGAAACAAATGGCAGACTCTGATTTAAATGGAGCTGAGTTATCACAGAATCATTAGCATTGGAAGGGACGTCTGGAGATCATCTAGTCCAACCTCTCTGCCAAGGCAGGGTCACCTAGAGCAGGTCACACAGGAATGCATCCAGGTGGGTTTGGAATGTCTCCATAGCAGGAGACCCCATGACCTCCCTGGGCAACCTGTTCCAGTTTGCTGCCAGCCTCAATGGAAAGAAGTTCTTCCTCCTGTTGAGGTGGAACTTCTTGTGGTTTAGTTTATGGCTATTACTCCTCGTCCTGTCACTGGGTACCACTGGTAAGAATGTGGCACCATCCTCTTGACACCTGCCTTTGAGATGTTTATATGTAATGATGAGATCCTCTCTCAGTCTTCTCTAGACTAAACGGGCCCAGCTCTCTCAGTCTCTCACACATTATTATTATTCCATAGCAAACTTTTATCATCAGTGTGGTTTTATCCATGTCGCTTGTGTGCATGTATACATATTTATGATTTTCTCAAGTGATTCTGACTTAAACACATACCAGCTCAGCCCTGTGGGTTTTGGTCATTGACCTCAATAGATCAGTTATATTTCTGACATGAAAGTTCTTGTTGGAATTGCAAAGCAGCTTAGGCTAGCAACTTGGTAATAACTATTATTCCTAGATAATAGTACTCCTAAATTGAAAATATTGCTGCAAAAGAACCTATTGTGTGCTCTCATATTTAGCTCTTGAAACAGCTTGGGTTGATTCTGATAGTGGAAATAGCCATTTCAACTGCCAAATGAATGTAAAATTGCAGGAATTACATAATGTGTGTAATTGGTAGGCCACTGTTGTGTAGTTCCAGTTTTATTTAGTGTAATCATTGAAACTGTCTTTGTCCTACTGTGTCATTTATCTTGAAGGGTTTAGAATCTGAAATTTGCACTATCTACACTGATGATTTATCTTAGCTGAAATGTGACAGTCTCTGGATGAACTGTTAAAAGCACCATAACAATACTACATTTTTTTTGACATAACAAGTGGTAATGTATCCAACCAACAGCACCATAACAATACTACATTATTTTTGGCATAACAAGTGGTAATGTATCCAACCAAAAGTGCAGGGGAGCTCAGAACCATTGGCACATTTGACAAAGTTGTAAAAAGATCGAGTAAGGAAAGTCAATACTTTTTTCATAACACCATGACATTCTCAACAGACCTGTTGTCACTATTGGAAATGTGCATCAAGCCAACAATGCAGTACCTATGGATTCTCTCACCTCTGTGTACATTGAGGTATTGAGATTTGACCCAATGGGTAGAATACCACCAGCATAATTCTTTCACCCACTCCAATCACCATAGAAACTTCTGCTGTGTTTTGTTTTCCATCTAAGTGATGAGATCTATTGCTTCATTTCAGAGGGTCGGCAGAATTGCAGGACGAGAAAGTAGTGCTTCAAGTGTTAGCTTTTTGTTAATGTACTAAAACTAATTGTAGGATTGGCCTACCAAAAATTTCTATAGAAAAAAATCCTGCCAATATGTGGTTTCTAAAATTTAAAAAAAAAAAAAAAAGGAAAATCCCCAAAACCTTGTGAAAAGTCTTTTCCAATCCTGCCATGCTTTGCCTCCCTTTGACTAAGCATCTGGCATACTTTATAAGATGTTAGTTTTGGTACAGTTTCACTTCTGATAATTATTACCAACCTCCTTAACCAATGTGAAGAGTGCCTTCCTTCCCCCTTCCCTCTGTTCTTGTGACGAGACTAACCTCAGCTGTGCAGGGGTTGGTGGCATTTGCATGTGGAAATGCACTAATATGGATGTTTTTCTTTGTGTGTGCATCCTTGCAGTGTTGTATACCAGGATGGATTTTATGGTGCAGACATTTATGTAAGTATTCATTGATGTGCATGCTGTCCTTGTACATTACCAGAGTCATTCTTTTTACAAGTTTCCTGCCTAGCTTGACTCTGTTTTGTCTATTTACCATCCCTTGCCTGTCAGAAAGAATTGAGAAGAATATCTCTCACATTGGAAGACCTTTCTGTTCATTACATCTATCATTGTTCAGTGGAGCTGAATTAACTCTTCAATCAAATGCTGAACGAATGCAAAAAGATGTGGAGTGAGTGTGTGTGTGTGTGTGTGTGTGTGTGTGTGTGTGTGTGTGTGTGTGTGTGTGTGTGTGTGTGTGTGTGTGTGTGTGTGTGTGTGTGTGTGTGTGTGTGTGTGTGTGTGTGTGTGTGTGTGTGTGTGTAAGGGCAACTCCCTTCGTAATTGAAGTGCAAAGGAGAAATAAAGCAAAGCAGAAACATTCTTCTGCAAGTCCCCAAAAGCCCTTTTGAAAATAAAATCAAATCAAGGCAAGCTGAGTATTATTAATACTTGAAGTATGAAAATACTTTATGGAGAGAGATAGGTTTCCCAAATCCAGCCAACACTGAGTATGTGTAGGTGCCATGATGATAGCAGAGCTTATTGACATAGTAAGTCTAAGATATGGCTGTGTATTGTCTGTAATCTGAGTAGATTTCCAGCTGCACTTTTAAAATCCACTTAATTCAGTTTAAAAAGAATGGGTAGAGACTGCTCATGATATAAGAACTGGTTTATTTGTTAGGAAGGATTTATAGTCCTAGATCCATCGTTATCCACTCACCTAATTGTTCACCGATTTCCTTTTAAATAGTATTTTTATAAGTTTCTTCCCACTACTGAACTCTTTACCTTGAATGTATACAAAGAAGCGACTTATGTCTGAGTGTGCAAGAGGTTTCAGGTGGTTGAGGCTGAATTTCCCTCTTCTAAAATAATTAATTCTTATACCTTAATGTGTAGATGCAAAATATTTTTTTGCTACTAAGTAATTTGTTGTTATTTTAATAAAGCAATCTGGTCCTAAGTTACAGGTATCATCTTTGTTTCACCACACAACTTTCTCTAACCTACTTGTACTGTCCCTGTTGTGATGCAGCAAGATGGATGAGTTGAAATTTGTATGAATGTTAAAAATTAAACAGGGAATGTTAGAAAACATCCCTTGTGTTCATTATCAGCAATCTTCTAGAACTATTTCCAAGGGAGGAGATTTTTAAAATAAGTTTTATATAAAGAGGGAAAACGTCTTCTAGAACTCTTTCCAAGGGAGGAGATTTTTTAAATAAGTTTTATATAAAGAGGGAAAACAGTTTGAATTTATGGATGAAGTAGGTTTTGCTCTTCTGATGGAGGTAGAAAGGCTGATGCTTACCTGAAAATTCATTTGTGCAAATAAAAACCATATTTAAAATAAATGAGCAAGGGTTAAAATTCTCTCTATGCACTTGTGTACTTAGTGTTATTATCAGTCCCATATTCTTTACAACATTTGGCCAAAGCCTTGCTCAAGTGAAATGTGCTGCACATTGCTGCTCAGTTTTGGAGCTATGTAGGGTACATGGTACAATTTGAAATTTCTTCAAGTGTGTTTTCCAATTTTCATGTTCCTTCAAACTGTCAGAAGAATTTTACATCCATTTTGCCCAGTTTATCACCCCAAAAATCCGAAAGGCAACATGACATCTCTCTCAGGTTGGCTTAATGTGCTAGTAGAGGTGGGAACTAAATATTAATGGAGCAGTTTGTGGGTTTGAATCCACTGCTGCTGAAAACCAGGGATAACTCTTTGGGTGACTGACAATACTGGGTCTAGGTGGTCTCACACCCTCTCACAGAACTTTGTTTTGTTTCAAATGGTATGTGATTTCAATGAGGAAGATACCAAAGAAATGGCTAATTTCTAGTATAGCCTCAGTTTTGTTGTCTGCAATAGTTCTGTGCATTAGAAAACAGAATAACTCTACTCACACATTGGTTTTCACTCTGCTGCATCTTCATATTTCTGATTGCATTTCTTAGTTCCTGTAGTGCAACAGAATGTTTACCTGTACAGCAGTTGACAGAATTAAAACACTCTTCTGGAAGTGTTTAAATTTTTATAGTACACAAAGCTTCTTATTTTATAGTTAATTTTTCTTCACATTTGTGCTTTCTTGCATATAAAACATTTGCAGGGGAGGGAGAGAGAGATGGCATAAATCAACTGAAACTTTACAATCCACAGTGTATTAGTTCTTACCGTACTACTTTGCAGCAGACAAAGTTATTTATGAAATCCCAGTTGTTTATAGCACAGTTCTACTCAGAATTTCATTTTAAGTGCAAAGCTGAAGCTTTATGAAAGGACAAATGCTCTGTGGAAAAAAAAAAAAAAAAGGAGAAAAAAATTTAAACAATGTAGGGTTTAATAGTAGATTGGAGAGAAAGGAACCTTGAAAATACCATAGAAAGCAAAACAAAAAGCACACAGTACTCAAAAATCAGATCAAAAATATGCATTAATGAATATAACAAAGTGAGTTTCATTCTGCTCTGATGACACTGAGAACCAAAAGCAATATGGATTGTGCTATTCTTTGCATAACTAGCTATGAACATAGCATTTGGTGGCTTGATTTAGTGGAAAGGAAAGAGGGAGGACACAAAAAGATTCTGGTTGGGTAAAAACTGCAGGGTGAACCAGGAACAACAAAGAGCCAGGGTTGTTAATACGGCTCAGTGGAAGAGAATAGAAATATTAAAATAGGTGGAAAGTACAGTTTGAGGTGAAAACTCAACAGCCATGATTCTAGAGGTAATATAATATATTCTGTATTTCATATCATTCTATATGGAATGTAATAATGTTTCTGAAATAGCTGAGCTATTGGATTCCCTTTTAAATGTGCCTCTGAGTAGGAAAAATAAAGGAGATTATTAGGAAGTAAGGAAGACCTTTTAAAATTAAGTATTGATTCACTAAGAGAAAAAGTCATTAAAAGAGAATTAAAGTTGCCTGCCAGCAAATATAGAAGTTCCTAGATGAAGATTGACACCTGTGAAAATAAGAAAATATACTCCACAAAACGAAGCAAAAATAGTAACAGACTCTGAAATATGCAGTTAGAATAATAGCTCCACACTTTAGCTCTGCTTTGTCTTAAATCTGTTGAGGTTTTTTTTACCAGTCATGAAGAACATTTTCAGAATATGTCAGTCTTCAATCCACACCTAAAATGTGAGAAGGCAAGAAACACGAGAACCTTGTGAACTCTGTCCTCACCAGCTTCAGCAGTCCATGGGTAATGTGGTTTGGCCATGGCCATTAGTCAGCCTTGCTGTTCCCAGCAGGATTTTCTGAGCTGTTCTCAGGATTCTGGCCCTGTGATACTGCAGCTGGTCAAAGTCCACCTTAAAATGTCCACATATAGTCTTGAGATGTTTGGTTTTGTGAGCTGCTGAGCAAAGAATAAAGCAGAGTTTTGTGGTCAGGGGTGTGGAATGAGACTTACCAATAGCTGCTGCCATCACCTTTGGCTCAAAGCTAGGCTGGCATGGAATATGGAGCCACATATTTGTTTCCCAAGGGAAAAGCAGATGGAATTATCTAAGCAACATCCCTTTGACCTAGGCAGGAGTCCATTGATGCCATCAGATGCCCTGGAAGGCACTGTTGTGATGGGAAAAGCAAACATATGCAGATAGCACTCAAGTTTTTCTTTCAAGTACCAAAGATATTTTATGTTTTGCAAGTGGCAGGATGTGCCATTTCCTGTGACTCACAGAAAAAGAACTAGAGAAGTAGAGAAACGACTTTTCCAAAGGCAAAACAGTCTCCAGGGAGCAGTGGGTTGTTCCTTCTAGTGCTTTAAGTGCTGGAACACTCCATGATACCTTGTCAAAAGTTTGGATAACTAATGATGAAAAGTCTTTTAATCTCTGCTCTTTATAAGTGATATAAACAGTACATTAAAAAAAAAATGTTAGACCAGTTCTGGTGATTGTATTTGGTTGAAATTAATGCAGGTGGTGTCTGTTTTGGATATATTATCAAGAGCTTTTGTAAGGCAACAGATGCCTCTGGGAACTTGATGTAGAAATACCACGAGCCTTTCACAAAGGGCTGTTCTAGAGTTTAAGCCAGCACAAAGAGGTAGTGGATAGTTTATTTTTAATTTTCCCAGTCAAAGTTTTACTCCATGAGCAGAACAAATGCTGTTTAAACCTCAATAGCACATGAATGGAGGACTGAGGTGAATGTATTCTGCAGCTCTGGGTATTCTTCATGTCACTTTTAGTACCATTCCTTGACTTGTAGCTAACAAGGCAGGTATAATTCTCAGGACTACAAGAGGTTTGGAACCTTGATTAATTTATGTTCACAAAATACTTGGAGATCCTTAAGTGAAAGGAAGTTCAGGCTGTAAAAATTAAGGAAAATTGATCCTCAACAGTCATATAAAATACTTAATATGTTGCTAATAAGCAAACATAACAAAAATTGCTTATCATTTAGAGTCTGTTAGTTCACATGTCTACAATAAGCACTGACAGTGCATGCATTACATTCACATGAAAAAAAGCAATTTAGGTATTTCAGGAGGAGGTGCACACAGGTTTGTGTGGGTTTGTAAAATCTCTAGCTGTCTGTTTGTATTAGTTGTTTCTGTGGAAATGAGTCTTCCTGCAGATGTACAAACTTCCGTTAAAAATTCAGTTGCATTTCATTTTCTGTTCATTTCCATTTTATCTAAAATGAGTGTGATTTCTCTCTAAAATTGATCAAGATTTCTCTGTAACAATTGGCTCCTGCTCTTTGACAGATCCCAAATGCTCTTTTTTTCTGTTTGTCTGAGCCATGGAGATGTACAAAACATTGAGAGGAAAATTCAAATGAGTTGCTCTGGGGAATTTGCCTAAATTCCTTCCTTACATCTTTCTTTCCATCCTTGTTTCCTCACTCATTCAAATCATTCCATTTCTGTTTCTTTATAGAGCAGTGTTGCAAGAGCCTGTGCAAGGCAATAAGTTCCCACAGGTATGGCACACTGACTGATGGAAAAACCTCCTTGCACTGAATGGAGCCTCATGTAAAACCATACTAATACCCAAAGAATTATGGGAGAAAATAGATTCTGTGTGTATAAGTGACAAAAATTGTCCACCAGTTGCATCTTATGTTCCAGACTCTGTCACAGAGTCATAGGTAGTGACTTTGTAGTGTAGTGACACTATTCTTAATTTCTAAAACTACTTAAGCTGCTGTAACTGACTTTTAGCATTGTTTTGCAAGTAGCAAATATGGGAGCACAGATAAGGCAGTACATATTTTTTCATTATGTTATCTGAATTTATTATTTCAGCTGAATTTTCAAAACAATTTAAAGCATAACAGTCAGGTCCTTTCTGTCTGAATATACAGACTGGGGGGGGAGGGAACATTCCTAAAATATTTCTAATACATAGGAACTGAAAAGTGTTATTTATTGTTATGTAATTATTACATAATTTAGTTCTAAATATTTTTTTTTGCAATATAGTCTAAGGCATGAAGATAAATATTTCATGTTACTCAAGAGATGTATATGTGGTGAAGATTGCTAGTGTGTTCTTCAGCCAAATTCAAAATTAGAGAAAAATTGTAAAGTAGAACTTGTCACAGAAGTTGAGCTCAGGGCTTTAAATCAGATTCCCATTCCCAATGTAAAGTGTACCTCAAGTACAATTACTTGCAGTAATAAATCACCTGAAGTAACTGTGGTAAAAAAAAAAAAAAAAAGAAAACTTAGTATGACACCAAAATTACAGAACACAAACCCCATAAAAATCATTTGCTTAAGAATGTTTTTATGTGTAATTTATGATAGCTTATTTTAAAATAATGAATTCATGACATGGGCTGGTAGGGAATTTTTCCAAATACATCCTGCATGTAAGTTCTCCAAAGAATTCAGGCAAATTCAATAACTTCAATCTCTTTTTATTTGTCTTGCTTTACATTCATTCTTTCCAGGGCTCTCACAAATGTCAGCCTGATTGTCATTTCCAAAACATCTTCATAAAGTTCAGAGTTGAGCTTCATTGTTGAGCACAAATTCTTCGATGGAAGTAAGGCAAAATACAAGCATCAAAGGAATGTAGCTTTTATGTTTAGGGAGTGAGGAAGGGTTTGTCATCACAGCCTGACTGATTTTTGGTGCTAGTTAAATAAAGAACACCAATCCTCACAGAGCCACCAGCCACAGATTTCAGAGCAGCCTGTGTCAGCCTCATCTGATTCATGGGGTCTGTGCTTGGTTCCAGACCGTGGTGGGAGCTGTGATGTGCATAGTTGGGTTGACATGGAGTGCCTTTCAGTTTTCAGTCAGAGATTCTAGGAATGGACAGCAGGACAAGCCAAGGAGTCCTACACATGGTGCACAGAATCAGGTCATACTGCAGGTTGACTTGCAGTCTGCCACACATTGTCAGGACTGGACCATGGAAACGACTTTAACATCTTCTTCATGCTTTTAGCATTTGTGCTCCCTCATATCAGCACTCAGGGGAAAAAACCAAATGGTGCTCTATTTAGTCCTCCAAAACCAGGGGGGAGAAGAGATAAATTTGTCTCATCTCTCACCTTTCTCCCTGTGGCAGAGGCCAGACCAAGTGTGCAGCTTGCATCATCTCTTCTCAGCCTTGCTGTTTATTGGCTCTGTTTGCACTGGGTGACATGATTTGACATCTGAAGGCCTAGATCAACATACCTGCAAGCAATATGTGCCTCTTATACATTTTTGACAGTAATAGCCTTCTATTGGTTTATAAAAATCCAATGATCCAAAATGAGAAAGTATTTTCTCTCCCAGGCTCTGTGTGTGCACACAGAGAAGCAGATTAGAGCAAAGCAGAGAGCACGTAGGATCTTAGGTAAACCTCATCCCTGCCTGATTCCTGGGGCTGTGGGACACAATTGCTGCTGGCAGGGAGCTGACCAGGAGCAGGGAGGGAAATGTCCTGTTCTCTGTGTGAGCACTTGAAAAAAAAAATCAGGAAGAATGTTCCTCAAGTCAGTTGACAATTCCAAGCCTGGAGTTTCTGATGAGCTGTCAGGATATGTTAAATGTCTGTTTATTCTTAGGGTGATGTGGCATTATCAGCTGAACGATTGATTTCCAACCCCAACCTGCTACAAATCTGCAAACCCACAAAGGGTTTACACATGCTAGGGATGAAAGTAATTCCACCCATCAATGTGGCAGAAGGGGAAATAGTTTGTAAACGTAGTTGAAATTGCTTTTCTGAAAAAGAGGGGATTTTTATTTGTAAAATCAAGCTAGAAAACCCACAAAAGTTGCTGCAGTAAAAATGCACTACTGTTACAGTAAAGGCTGACACATTGTGGCCTATTCTTCATGCTTGAGCATAACATCCTGCGTGAAGGCAACTTTCCAAAAACAAGGGAAAAATCAATCCATTAAAGCAGACACTTCAGCAAAAGAGTGGATTTTAGTCAAAGCTGAGCAAACTGATACTGTCTTATTCAGCTCTTTGTTAAGGTGGGGGTAGGAAGGCACTACAGCAACCCCCTGTCCCAGAGGGTGATGGGGGGAGGATTCTAATTGGGACGTAAATCGTGTTTGTGTTATCTGCAGAGCTTGGGCTGTGCCTGTTAATTGGCATGCTGAGATCATTTTGAAATGGTTGATATAACACCGTGGTCCATTGAACACGAAGCTCTGCTGTTTTCACAGTTTGATAATCAATGCATCACTGCACACAATTCCTTTCCAATGTGTGTTTGTTTGTCCTGTTTGCTTAATTGAACAGCTGGAATTACTGTTACATACAGCTGAATGTTAATTCATGGAAGAAGAGAGTTTTGCTTCTTCATTATGATTTTATGTATAAATTAGAAACCTATGTAACATTAAGTGTTAATTGACTGCACAAATTCATAGGTTTAATCAACCAGGCATAATAAATCATATTTTGTACCAAAAAAATAGTTCATTATTAGCTGAGTTTGTCTTTTAAGTTCAGCATTGCTTTATGGCTGTACATCCACCTCGTTCATAAGAACAATTGCTACTTGAAAACTTGGAGGAGAATATTGTCCTGTAAAGAAACTTACATTGATCAGTATTGTTCATTGGTTTCTCCTGATCTCTGGGACAAATCTTACAAAGTTTGTGGCGATAGATTTTGCTTAACTGAACTATTTCCTTAACGTTTCACTGAGTTATTTCCTATGCATTTAACCCCTTAACTGAATTGCAGCATGATGGTACTTTTTCAGTTGTGAAATTTTGCAAAATGTTATTTAAGGTGCTGTAGCAATCCAGTTAGAGCCTGAGTTTGTGTTTCAGGGTGGTTATGCTGCCTACCGGTATGCCCAGCCTGCCACTGCCACTGCAGCTGCCTACAGTGACAGGTAAGACCTTATTTCCTGCTCATAAATATCTGACCAGTGGAAGTTGAAGATGATCCTATAAATTTGCCTTGTTGAAGTCTCATAACTGTCTTGTTGCTCTGCAGATAATTGTGATATCTAAAGCAGGCTGTTTTATTATAATCCATGAATAGCCGTAAATTGAGAGATTTTAGGCCTTAATTGAGAATCAGGCATGAGATGTGCACATTCCCAAGCTGTAGATCATCCAGTTAATGTCTGTGACCCTTGTACAATGGAGATAAATATATGTACAGATTCATGATGGTCTGCTACTAAAGATCATTATTTGTCTTAGGAGTATTATTTCAGTTGATTTAGAACCTTGAACCTATCGAGTGCCCTCAATTCCCACTGACATTGTTTTAGTCAGCAGAAATTGAGAATGAACTGTGTCTCAGCTTGAACTATCAAATGCAAACCAGTATTTTTTCCATTTGCTTTCTTTTCAGGCATTTGATTTTTTTTTCAATACTGAAAAAAAAGAAATCAGTTCTTCTTCTTTTGCTCTGTATTTTTAGCCTCAAAATGTAAACCACATTTGGAGGAAATAATATCAGACATGAAGGATTATTAAAATCTGCACATGCAAAGACTTAACTTCTATCAACTAAGAGCGATGTCACGTAAATTAGTGTCTCTTCTTGAAAGATGAAAATTGGAACCCCTTGGAAGTCAATGTCTAAATTGCTGTTGACTTCAGTAGGAATAGGATTTTGTCAAATTGCATAAAATTAAGTCTTTGCAGTGTGTGCACATGATTTTGTAATGAGAAGGCAGAATATCCCATGTTTTCTTCATAAGCTCTACCCTTAACAAAATCTACTCTATCTTTAATGCTTCTCAAGTACTTGAAGAGTGTACACTTGTAAAGGGAGGATGCATATCGTGACAGACAGAGACATATACATAGTTTGTGTCACGATAGCAGTGAGAAGTAAGGTCACACTTTTCAATACCCGATACAAGAAAATTTTCCCTTGGAATCGTGGAGATCATTTCTTAAGCCTTGAATATGTGTCCAAAAAAATCTCTTTAGTTGCTAAATTAGACAATGTTATAAATGTTTCTGTTTCTTAAAGAACTCGAGAGATTAAGAAATTTTAGTGCACAATTTCTTAGACTGAAGTGCTGTTCATGGATTCTGTATTTTTAGACCCAAGTCCCATGGTATGAATGTTACAATGCTCTGCATGCATATTTGCCTTTCAAGTGCTTATTCTGGGTAATGAAGATATATTTTTTTAAAGTTATGTGAATAAAATAATTTGCATGTATGGCTGAGGCATGCTGTGTCAGACAGGTAAGCAAGCTACTTTCTATTAATTTTGGGTCAGTAATTCCAACCAGACGTGTGCTGTGTGCACTCTGTTGGCAGTGTATGATTTCTACTTAGGGTAACCTGCACAGTTGAAATGCTACTCAGTAGTTTCATTTCATTTCCACAAAGGTGTGTTAGCATGTTGCAGCTCGAGTATTTTTCTGTGAGCTTATAATGCAGATCAACTCCTGCTTCTAAAAACTTTCTAAACCAAAAGGACAAAACTCTAAATAACCTCCTGTGGTTAGTCAGGTTTTGCCAACTCTCGTTCAGGTGTCCCTGGAGCTTTTCCTAGGGTGTTTATTCCTCTGAGTAAATGGATTTCTGAAAGCCTATGCATTATCTAGAGAAACTGAACAATATCAAGATGACTTTTAAATGCTTTAATTATGAAGTGATGTACCTTCTCACAAAACAAATCAAGTGCTGTAAGATAAAATATCAGTTGGTCACATGTTCTGCTATGGGTAGAGAGTCAACATCAGAATTATGCTCACAAAAAAAAGTAAAGGAATTGTCTAGGAAGATAGTGCTCTTAAATGCTGTAAAGGAAGCTGGAGATGGCATCAGTAATAATGCAGTTGTTAAAATCCTTAATTATTTTTTGGAAAAAAATTGTCTAATTTTTAGATACACTTTGTGTATAATTAGAATTGTAATAACCTGTCTTTGCTTGCATAATTTTAAATATCTTAAATGAACTTTATCTCTTTTGGAATTTTTTTTTTTTAATTTAGCTTCTTGCTTTAAATGTGGTTAACCCTCATCTTCGATCTGCTTTCCCCAAATGAATATGGTTTCTTGTCTTAATTACAAATCTTGCAACTGAATTTCTTTATGAGCGAATCCCAAAACTAGCATAGAGAACAAAACAAATAACAATCTGCTCAAACCTTTCTTTGCATATGGGGAAGCTATGTGCAAACATGGATACCTCTGATTACTCACAACTAGAGTTTCTTTAATTTGATTAACTTTTAGTTCATTTTCAAATGAATTTAATTTAGCAACTTTTGTGAATTGCTAATATTGAAAGTACTGAAATATAGTTCAGTACAAGTGCTTGTATCTTTTCTTCTCAATGTAATAATCATCTGCTCTCCTCTGATGACAGTGAAATGCCATATTTCCTTATACACTTAACGTTCATTTGAGCCCCTATTTAATTTAATTATCCATGAACTATATTACTGTTTATATAAAAAACGATGCCCAGAGAAAATAAGTGAGGACCAGTGAGTATTTACTAGTGAAGCAGTGACAAATCATGGAAATACTACTTGATATTCATTAAAAAAGTAAGAAAAGCTTTATTTTTTTGATCACCACTGATATACATGATGAATGGCAATCTTCCATATTTGATATGCTTCTGAAGTCAGGAGATGGAAAGAGGAAATCTTTGGATCGGAGACATGTTTTGGTAAATTAAAAATAAAGGTTAACAGAAAGATTTGGGACACCAGAATCAATACACCAAGTCGATGGATAATGATCACTGTGAGAGGGCTCTATAGTGAAGAAATAAAATGGTATCCTTGTTTGTCACAGTTGGAGATATTGCTGGAAATAGGCAAGGAACAGATACAGAGGGGAGAATCAGGTGACAAGGAAATATCCTGAAATCAATCCATGCAAACCCCTAAGTATTTGTTAGGACAGATCATGTGCTCCTAAACCCAATTTCACAACAGAGGTAGACTTTGCAGATCTCTCCAGTCTTTTCTTCAACCAATGCAATTGCTGAATACATTTGAAAAAAAAAATGCAGAATTGAATCTCTATGCCCTGTGATCTGTCATCATCCTAAATTGCACTTAAAGGTTTGAAGGTCTTTGCAGAAGTGGATTCAAATAATCATGTTTAACTTGCCAAGGTTTAAAATATTTCTAAGTTTTCCAATTGTTATAACTGCTAAAAGGGGACCTACTGGTCTATGTAGTTCTTCACCATTCTGGAGTCATGTCTGCCAAACTCTTTAAACTTAGCATGCTTGGAAAAAATAATTGTAAGGATGTGCAAAAGAGACTAAATCAGATGTCAATAAAATGTATGTACAGCTTTGATTCATCTTCCATGCAATATTTTTAAAAATAGAAATAAAAAATAGCTGTTAGATTTCTGTCCAAGTCTGAAGGAAGAGCAAGTAGCAAAGTCATCAGGTTTTGTATTCCTGAGGTAGAACAAGTCAAAGCATGGCAGTGGGGCATATTGTCATTTTGTCATTGCATGTTCACTTGGTGTTGCTAGTATGTCTGTAATGCTGTACTGGATTTGACAGATCCATCACATAGCTCAGTGAATGGCTTGCTTGAATTAAGCCTATGGGCAGACTTATTCACCTGGATTGGCTATTGGTTTTGTGTTTTATGATTTGATTATTGCATCTTCGATCGGAGTAAGAGAAATGTTCCTTTCTTGCATATTAACTTTGTCAGTGATATTTATGAAAAGTGTATCTGGTAGTGTGATCAAGCAACCCCTGACAGCAGTGAGCCAACCTTGTGTGAAAGGCAGAGTCATTCCACTTGTTCTGCTTGCTCCCCCTGAGTGGTAACCATGTGTGTCTATATATGTATGGCTGTCTGTCCATATATATACACACATTGCCCATCCATCACGCACACACACATATCTACAGAGGCATTTTACTCTGAGCATAATTCCCTTCTCCTGATACAGTGTCCAACTTAACCTTCACTCCAAGCAATGGGAAGATTCCCATTGACTTCTTCGTTGTCTGGCTTAGATCCCTCATCACTGGAAGCTGACGTATTTTTTTTCCCCCGCTCTTTTTTTTTTTTTCCAAAGAGAAAATAAGGCATATTCCAAAATATTTTGCGCATAACACTTCGTAATATAAAATACCTTTTATTTCCCCCCCCTACTCTCAGTTTGTGTTACATGTTCTGTGGTTATACCTAGGATTTTAAATGAAATTTGAGAGAGGAGGTTTTGTTACGTGGAAATTATGTATCTTCCAGATCTGAAATCTTATTCCTCATATTCTAATAGTTTACATTTTTAACGTTTCTGTGAGGAGTATTCAGTTTTGTCAGTAGCAGTGTCTATGGAGATAGAGTTTAATATATTTTCCAGTTCTCTTTGGGCAAGAAATTGAGAGTAATACTTGATATTTGTGGTCAGATTATCCTAAAAGAGAATAGGTACAGATTTGATTTAACTGGAAATGTGCTCATTAAAAAATGAAAACCTCAAATGAAGAATAAAAAACACACAAACTATAAAATTTGAGCTTCTGTAGCTGAAGGGCATTTATATATATTGTAGACTATAAGATCTATTTTATGAATAAACAATGAAAGCCACTATAATTTTATTCAAATTATTTTCTCTTATTGAGGATCTCACTAGAGATATATACTAAAAATTAAGGTTTTGAGAGCATATAAAATATAATAGCATCTTCAGCCAGAATTTAATTTTCCATTAAATAATTTTATAGAAGCATAAATATTTTAAACTGTAGTGCTTCATTCATTTCATGATTGTACTTTCTAAGATTTAGGAGAAAAAGCTTCTCTACGGAGTTTTAATTTCTAAAGGAATCAGGTTGGCAGAGGAAAAGGATTAGAATATAGTGATAACTTTACTCTTCTACTCCCAGCTGGACCCTTCACACCTTTTTGAATTTTGCTGT